CACCGCGCGATGACGTGAAATCGCTGGATTCGACCGAATTCTTAAGATTCCTATGGTTTTCCTATGATTTCAGCAAGAGAGCCCGGGCGGGAAATTTGTACAATTTTTTGTGAAAAAGCATTGGGTTTTTGATGTTTTTATGTTGAAATGCTTGCAAACACACGGTGTTCGGTAGGATTCTGACATGAACGCGCGCGTGTGCTCTTTGTGGTATTTTTTGCAATGGATTATCGCCGTGGACGACAGGACGTCCATGTCGAGAGGAAAAAATAAGAAACATGTTGATTTTGTATTGTTTTTTACAGGTTCGGATGGGACCACCCGGATGCGGCCCCTAATGGCCGGCCTGAGGGGGGAGTAGGAGTATATTCTAATACGGAATAAGGATAGGAGTAGGAGTAGGAGTCGTAGTAGTAGTCGTCGTCGTAGTAGTAGTAGTAATAGTCGTCGTAGTCGTGGTAGTAGTAGTAGTACTAGTAGTAGTAGTAGTAGTAGTCGTAGTCGTAGTCGTAGGCGTAGGCGTAGGCGTAGGCGTAGTCGTAGTCGTAGCAGTAGCAGTAGTAGTAGCAGTAGCAGTAGCAGTAGCAGTAGTAGTAGTAGTAGTAGTAGTAGTAGTAGTAGTAGTAGTAGTAGTAGTAGTAGTAGTCGTAGTAGTCCGGTAGAGTAGTAGTAGTAGTAGTAGTAGTAGTAGTAAGTTAGTAGTAGTATTAGTGCCGTAGTAGTCCGTATAGTAGTAGTAAGTATATTAGGTATAGTAGTAGTAGTAGTAGTAGTAGTAGTAAGTGACTATGTCAGCAGCAGCAGCAGCAGCATCAGCCGCAGTAGTATGTAGTAGTAGTAGTAGTAGTAGTAGTAGGTCCGTAGTCGTAGTCGTAGTCCGATCGTAGTAGTAGTAGTATAGTAGTATAGTAGTAGTAGTAGTAGTAGTAGTAGTAGTAGTAGCAGTGGATAGTGGTAGTACATATAGCAGTAGCAGCAGTATAGCAGTAGTAGCGTAGTATTAGTCGTAATAGTGTAGTAAAAGTATAGTAGTAGTAGTAGTAGTAGTAGTAGTAGTAGTAGTAGTAGTAGTAGTAGTAGTAGTAGTAGTAGTCGTAGTCGTAGTCGTAGTCGTAGTCGTAGTCGTAGTAGTAGTAGTAGTAGTTGTTGCTGTTGTTGTTGTTGTAGTTGTAGTTGTAGTTGTTGCAGCAACAGCAGTATTCAAAAGAGTAAAAAAGTTTTTTTTTAAAAAAGGTAGCAGGCAGCAGGGCAGCAGTCAGTAGTAGTAGTAGTAGTAGTAGTAGTAGTAGTAGTAGTAGTAGTAGTAGTAGTAGTAGTAGTAGTAGTAGTAGTAGTAGTAGTAGTAGTAGTAATAGTAGTAGTAGAAGTAGTAGTAGTAGTAGTAGTAGTAGTAGTCGTAGTCGTATAGTAGTAGTAGTAGTAGTAGTAGTAGTAGTAGTAGTAGTAGTAGTAGTAGTAGTAGTCGTAGTCGTAGTCGTAGTCGTAGTCGTAGTAGTAGTAGTAATAGTAGTAGTAGTAGTAGTAGTAGTAGTAGTAGTAGTAGTAGTAGTTGCGATTGAATATGCCAGTCTTCGGTCTTGAAGGTTGTTGGCGTTCTCGCCTTTTCGGGCTGCCGTCGGCGGATGATTGCCCAAGAGGCCTCCAAGATGGTTCCACGACAGCCCAAGAAGGCTTCGAAATGGCCCAAAAGGCTTCGAAATGGCCCAGGAGAGACCAACTATTGTTCGAAATTGGTTCCAGAGGGTTTCTGGAGGGACCCGAGGCGGCTTAAGATGACCCATGAATTGCGCAATACGGTCTCACGCCGGCCCCAAGAGGTTCCCCAGACGGCCGCGAGGGCCTCAAGAGAGCTCCAAGGCGGGCCCGTGAAGGCCAAAGAGGCTTCCAAGGGATCCCAAAAACTCTGTCCACCGGCCTCAATAAAAAACCCTTCGGAAGTCCCCAGAAGCTCTATAGGAAACCGCAAGAAGCTCCCCTGAGACCACAAGAAATTGTTCAGCCATTTCAAAGACCTCTTCAGTCTTTCGAAAATCTACAGGCCAAACCAAACAGATCTTCATATGCCCTAACAGGTTTAGCGTACGGTGTTCAACAAGAATCAGCTGTGAGGAGGGTATGGGTTGATATGGGTTGATTCCCGCAGGCCAGGCCCCCAAGGAAGATCTTCAGTTGGCCTACGAGGCCCGCCGAACGCTGTTTTTGTTTTGTTGTAGATTGCGAGGTGGATCTCTTCGTAGAGGTTACCCCCCCGTCTGCCGCGCTCGAGGATTCACCAGGTCCTGAGAGCCCCTGGCCATACAGACGCCAATAGGGCCACGCAAACACCCCACGGGCCACATAAACACCTCCCTGAGGGGGGAGGGAGGAGAGAGGAGGGAGGAGGGAGGAAGAGGAGCACGAGGACGCGGAGGTGGAGGAGGAGGATGAGGAGGAGGAGGAGGAGGAGGAGGAGGAGGAGGAAGAGGAATACCAGGAGGGGAAGGAGGAGGAGGAGGAGGAGGAGGAAGGGCGAGGGGGCGGGGGGGGAGGAGGACGAGGAGGAGGAGGAGGAAGAGGAGGAGGAGGAGGAGGACGAGCAGGAGGAAGAGGAGGACCAGTGGACACCCAAGAGGCATCAACGATGTTGGAATTAACCCTCCCTCCAAGCGTCTCTTCATAGGCCCCTCCATGGGTTCATATCCAATGAGGGAACTGCATCGTTGGGAGAGAACCGTTTGAAGACCCTGAAGCGTGCCAAAACACTGGTTTCGGGGCTCCATCGCCACGAATCACTCAACATGACTGTCGCGTTTTGACGATCCTGAATCTTGCCAGAACGCCATTCCTGGGGCGTGAACACCGCGAGTGAACGCAACTACTGCGCCCTCACATTCCTGAGTCCTTCCAGACCGCCATGCTTGGCACGTTGACCACGGGGATCCACGACACCCACGCAACTTTTTAAAATACATATATATATATACATATATATATATATATATATATATCCCTGGCCACGCGGCGGGCGACCGGGAGGGGGGCCCTCGACCCTCCATGGGTGCACCCGGCCGCCAGGGACGCCCCCAGGCGGTCCAGGACAGCCTCAACACAGATGAGCATGGTCGTGAGAGGCCTCCAAGAGGCCTACAGTGAGCGGCTTGAGTAAGGAACACTTGCTTTTCAAAAGGGGCTCGGTCGTTCCCTAGGCTTGCATGCGTTATCCATCGTTCCGTATGCCTTTTTATTATTTATCATTCCTTATGCATTGTTCCTTGGAAAACAAAGGGGCTTCGTTCCTTATTTCTCGTTCCTTAGGTAAGGCCGATGGCTGTACAGTCGCGGAAATATCGTCTAGCACGCCCAAGATGGCTTCCGGATGGCCCACAAGGCTTCCGACACGGCCCAAGGGGTCCCCAATAGCACCCCCAAGAGAGCCCCAGGAGGCCAAGCTTATTGGTTTTACATAGGCTTTTGGTACATTTTAGCGTTTCTGCTTGTCCAGCTTCCCGACGCTCTACGACGGTCCAGGACACCCCAAACATTGTCCAAACAGGCTTCCACGAAGGCGCCGAGACGGCCCAGGGCCGCCCCCAGACGGCCCAAGGAATCCCCAACACGTGAAAAGGGCCGCGAGAGGCCTCCAAGAGGCTCCGAAACGCGGACATATCGTTTGGGCCGTCTTGGGATCATCTTCGGCGTCTTGGAGCGTCCTTTGGGCGTCTCGGGGGCCTCTTGGGCAGTCTTGGGGGCCTCTTGGGGCCCTTTGGCGCGCTCTGGGGGGCCTGAGAGGCCGTGCCCAGGAGGAAAACCATCTCTGAGTAGACCTTCCCGGGCTGCGGTCGGGGTACTTTCCGCCGGGGGACCCCCAGGGGCCGCCCCGCGCGCGCGAACTAGAAATATTGTTAAGTAGTTACCGGAGATCTTAGCACGCCTCTGGCCCGTTGGGCCGGCGAACTTACGCTATTCAAATCTTCCTGGCCTTAGATGCTGTGTGGCACTTCGTCGGAGACCCCGACGTTGCCCCATGAGCCAGACAGTCTGGCTCATGGGCAGCAGCAGTGCAGCAGTAGACTGAGACTACTGCTGCTGCACCGCGCCTTGCCTTTGTGCAAAAAAAGGGTTTCCAAGATCGCCCCCAAAAGGGTCCCAAGAAGCCCAAACCATTGATTTGACATAGGGTTTTCAAAGATTTTCCCGTTTCTGCTTGTTCAGCTTCCCGACGCTCCAAGACGGTCCCGGACACCCACATATCGCCCCAACAGGCCCCCACGAAGACGCCGAGACGACCCAAGAGGCCCCCGAGACAACCCAAGAGGCCTCCAAGGCAGCCCAAGAGCGCCCCCAGAACGCCTCGAGAGAGAACTTCGAGGGGGAGCACCAACTGACATTTCGAGCTCTCCGCCCCTGGAAGCCCCCAAGAGGCCCCCAGCGGCCCCCAAGAGGCCCCTAAGAGGCCGCACGAAAACCCCAAGAGGCTTCCAAGGAGCCCCAGTAGGCCCCAAAGAGGCACTCAAAAACGTCCCCCCAGACGCCGTGAGATGTTCCTGACGATCCTCGACGCTGCCCCAAGTGGCCCCAGGAAGCCCCAGAACGGCCCCCGAGAGGCGTCACAGCCGCCGAGACAGCCTCCAGACTCCAGACGGCCCTGGAGGGCTTCCGGAGCGTTTCGGCACGGCCCGAAGCGGCTTTCAGACGGCCAAGACGGGGGTCTTCCGACCCCTTCGCCTGGAATCGAAGCGATCTTCGCGGGTGCCGCTTCGAACACCGACTCGATCCGGAGAGATTCCCACAGCGCACGGGAGGGCCGGGGGCCGTGGGGGCCCCGCCAGGGCGCCGGGGGCTATCGAAAGAATCGCCCGAAGACGGCCCCAGCTCGCCAGAAGCGGCGCTTCCAGACCGCGAGCGAAAACGGCCAATGACGGCCCGAGATTGCCTTAGAAGTCGCCGAACGAGCTCCTGACTGTCCGACAGCCCTCCAGGATGCCCCAAGAGGCCTCCAAGATGCCTCCCGAGGAGTCCGTAGCCATTTTGGCTCAAGCGCTTGTGTCTCAAGCCACTCTGGCCGTAGCTCGTCTCAAAGCCTAGCGCTCTGGTGAAAGGCTCTCTTCCAATTTGAGCAGGCTGCCATGGCTCCCTGCGCTAACCCGCTCGTTCGGGCTCACGTGGCTATTGTGGCGTGCGCGTTGCCCTGGCTTGCCTCTGCCGGCGGAGGCGGCGGCGAAAACATCTTCAAGTTGAAAGCCGTAGACTTGGATAACTGGGAGTTCTGGGGCATCTTCGCTGGCATGGTCTTCTACGGCGTCATCATCGACCGGTTGCAGTACTTCACCGAGGAGGCTGTCAAGGACTATCGTCTCAGCAAGATGATTTTTGACAGGTGCATCACCGAGTTTATGATATTCGGCATCGTGGCGATGAGCCTGTTCCTCATCATGAATGTGGTTCCTGACATCTCCCCGCGCACAGCGAGCCAGCTTACTTTCTGCGATATGCTGGTGTCTTTCGCAGCATGCTCTCTGATTCTGCTGGGTTGGATCTATTCTTGCCTTCGCGTGAATGTCCAGGCGCTTGTAGTATCAGGCTCCGACAAGAGCATCCTGGGCTGGAAGCCCATGCCGGAAAAGATGCAGAAGCAATTCATGGCCTTGAACCAGCTGGACGACCATAATTTCGCGTGGCTCCCGTATTTCAACGAGTCATTGGCCAATCAGATTTGCAACCTCATAAACATCAATTGGAAGACGTGGGTCATTACATGCCTCATCAGCTTGCCCATGGTTTATATCAAGTCTCAGCAGCACAAAACTGAAGAGAACACATACATCTTCGGGTACGCCGACCTTGAGTGGATCCTCGTGCTCCTCATCCTTGTGACATGGGTTGTCATTCGCATGCTTCGCAACAAGCTGTACTCAACCTTGGACAAGGCAGGCGATCCAGACGAAGCAGGTAAGGACGTCGACGTCAAGGACAAGCTTCTCGGCGGGGAGCATGGCTCCGCCCAGCAGCTGATCGAGAAACAGGCACGTTGGAGCAACATCCTGGCGTTGGTCTTACAGCTTGAGGCCGTACTGATGTGCTTTGTCGCGGGTATGTACGTCATGCACATGTCCTACAACATTGACTACGTTCACTGGTCCACTGCATTGCTTTGGAAAGGTCTCTTCGTTGCTGGGTGTGTCATCGGTCTCTTTCTCCTAGGGCCGCTCGCGCTCCTTGAGCTGACCTCGATCCAGGCGTTTGTGGATCCCGACGATGATGTATTGAGCTCTATCATGGCTCAGGTCAACGAGATTTGGAGCGACTGCGAGCACATACGTCGCCAAATGGAGTCAAAATCATACGCAGCTGGCTCCCATGCGAGCGCCAAGGAGTGGGCAAAGAAGGAACTTACAAAAGTGAACGGGACAGATACTATCGCGAAGAGTACTTTGCAAAAAGATTTGAGTGCCATGGGAATCAGAATCTCAAAACGCAACGCTAAGAATATCTTTGATCACTTGGATGTGAACTCCAGTGATCGTGCCAGCACGGGCGGGACACTCAGAAGTTCTCCGTCGATGCGCAAGATGAAGGACGCGGCAAAATCTATCCTGGAGCACCAGATCAGCGTAGACACGTTCATCGATATGGTGTTCGAATCGCATATGGACCGATGCGTGGACAAGTCCGCCGGTGAGGAGTGAGAGAGGCTCGATGCCGTTTGCCATCCTTTGCCTCACCTCTTTCTCCTGCCGTCTCGCCCTTTTCCTCCCCCTCTTCCCCCTACTCTCCACTCTTCCTCTCGGCCTTACTTGCACTTTCCGATCTCGACCGAGTGAGGTGCGACCCGGCTTGGAGCTCATGCTGGGCATTGGCTAATCCGCTGTGCATATAACTTTTGCTTTGGCGCAGCAATTTTGTGCCACTTAGCCTAGCTTGTTTGATCCTTACTGCATGTCAAGCAAGCCGCTGCTGTATTTCCAGCAGCCAGTGCTAGAGTAGCAGGGCACCATCGGATTCGGACTATGTCTGCTTTTGCGAGATCTTTGCGCCTGCTAGCGACGTAGGTGTAGTTTCGGCATCGGTTGGAAATCTTTCGTGCTGTCCTTGCCCCCTCTCCCGTGAGTCTCCCTCGTCCCTGCGTGTCGCGAGAGCCAGTGTCTACGTCACTGCTTCGGGGAGGCCCTCCAGGCAGTATGTTTTGAGAGCAAAGTTCCACCTCTCCATTTGGTCATGAAGGGCATGCGGTGCTTGCACGATTTGATCGGCAGATTTATCTCCTCCACCTTGCGAGGATGTCCTGGCGCAGAGAGCTCGCTGTGATGTTTCGCCGCATGCATCTCCCTCGGTGGCAGAGCTGGCTGCAGACTTGAGGGGTGCCCCTGGCTAGGCACCCCAAGGGTGGGATGGCAGATCGGGGAGGGACTTTGCCGAGCGATTGCTCTTCGACGCCGGGCCAGACGAATGATTCCGCGCCAGGCCAGGCGCGATGATCGATGATGAAATTGTTGGTTGCAAGAGAATGAGCCGCAGAGCGCCTGGCCTGGCCAGCGCGCGAGCGCGTCTACGGGAGCCTGGACGACAGCGGGCTCTCCGTTCGCGGCGGCGCGATGTGCTGGCTGGGAGCTCCGGCCAGGAAGGCATGGGCTGGAGGGCGCGGGCTCGCGCAGCGCCCAGAGTCGGGGGAGGCCTCGGGAGTCGCGGCGTCCCGCCCTCCAGCTTGGCTCGCTGGCAGGGAGGACGGGTGGGGTGGGTGTGGTGGGGGGTTGTGTGGAGGTGGGTGGCGGAGGAGTGAGGAGCGCCCTTCGTCGAGCTGGCTAAGTGTTTTTGTTTTTTGGCGTGGCAGGCACCGCCCCACGTCCTAAACTAGAATAGGATAGATTCGAGGAAAGGCTCGCGCTGACAAAGACGGCCTTCAGGACAGTTTCACGCAGTCGCCGCCCTCTCTGTGATGCCCGTGTGGCACAATCAGCCGCGATCGCATTTCGTTTGAACTGTTCAGTTCAGGCCTGACAATGCCTCGACCGGGGTTGCGGGTATGATTTACGATAGCGGCGAGAATTTTTTCTCGATGGGCTCGTGATGCGAACGGCACGCGCGCGAGCTCCGACAGGCTCTTTGCCTTCGGCCCTGCGGTCGGATTTGAGGAGCGACCCAAGCACACAAAAAAAAGATGCCTCCCGAGGAGCCCCAGGAGGCAAACATCATTGATTATCGATTGTTTTTTTCTCGGATTGTCGAGTTCTCGCCTTTTCGTTTTCCCGACACTCCGAGACGGCCCAAGAGGCCCCAATGTCCGCTCCAAGACAGCGCCAGAGGCCTCGAAGGCGGCCACACGACAGCCCAAGAGGGCCCCAAAACGGCGCCAGAAGTGCCCAAGACGGCCCGAGAGGGCCCCAAGACGACCCCAAGAGGGGGCCAAGAGGGGTAGCAACACGAACCGAAAATTAGAGCCTTCCACCCCGAGATTCTCTTAGGAGGCCCCGAGAAACCCTCAGCAGGCCCCAAGAGGTTCCAAACAGCTCCCCAGGGGGCCGAAGAGGTCCCAGAGGCCTCCCACGAAGGCCCCAAGAGGCACAAATCATTGTCTTGGCATCGGTTTTTTTTATTTGATTTTCGAGGTTTCAGCCTTTGGGCATCCCGACGCTCCAAGACGGCCCAAGAGGCCTCCAAGACCGCTCCAAGATAGCCGAAGAGGTCTCCAACAGGGCCCCAAGACGGCCGACGAGGGCCCCAAGACGGTGCCTGAGGCGCCCAAGACGGCCCGAGAGGGCACCAAGATGGCCCCAAGAGGGGCCCAAGAGGGTGAAGACGAACCGAAAATCCGAGTCTTCCATCCAGAGAGGCTCTGAGGAAGCCCCCAGAGGCCCCCAATAGGATCCAAGAGGCCAGCAGGAAGCTCCCCAGGGGGCCGAAGAGGTTCCAAGAGGCCTCCCAAGAAGTCCCGAAGGGGCACAACTCATTGGTTTTTCTCTCTCTCTCTCTCTCTCTTTCTTGTGTGTGTGTGCGTTCGTATATTTATTGATTTGTTATATATATATATATTGCAGCCGCAGGACACGAACATAAAACCGATAAACCGATCAACCGATAAACTATTTCGGTTGATCGGTTTATCGGCAGATCGACCGATCAACCGATATGATTATATCGGTTTATCGGTCGATCTGCCGGTAAACCGATCAACCACTAAACCGACTCATCGCATGCGTGCCCGAATCTCAGCACAGCTTGGCTTTATCAGTTTATCGGTTTATCGGTATATCGGATGTTTCAGTTTATCGGTTGATCGGTTGATCGGTTTATCGGCCCGGCGTTGTCGTGGTTGTCCAATGGGTAATCCTTCGAAATTATCTCTCCTCTTCCTCCTAGTCCTCCCCTTCCTCTTCCTCCTAGTCCTCCTCCGCCTCCGCCTCCTCCTCCTCCTCCTCCTCCCTCTTCCTCCTCCTCCCTCCTCCGTTCCGATCCTCCCTCCCTCCCTCCCTCTCCTCCCTCCCTCCCTCACTGGCCCCGACGCCCATGGTTCTCCTAGTCCTCCCTCCCCCTCTTCCTCCTAGTCTCCTCCGCCTCCCCTTCCTCTTCCTCCTAGTCCTCCTCCGCCTCCGCCTCCTCCTCCTCCTCCTCCCTCCTCCTCCTCCTCCTCCTCCTCCTCCTCCTCCTCCTCCTCCTCCTCCTCCCTCCTCCGTTCCGATCCCCCCTCCCTCCCTCTCCTCCCTCCCTCCCTCGCTGGCCCCGACGCCCATGGTTCTGCGCGCACAGGGCCGCGGCCCCCGTGAGCCCCTTCTCGGCGTTCCAGCTGACCACCATTCCTGGGGAGCTCGTCCTCCCTCCCTCTTCCCCTCCTGCCCACGCTCTCACATCCGTCCCCCATTCCCCTCCCTTGTTCCCCTCCCTTGACAATTACACAATATGAATACTACTCTCCCACTTCCCCTGATGGCGTCCGGAAGATATTCGGCACCCCCCCTGCGTACTGTTTTTTTACACACAGGATTCCCCGGAGTTGGGTTTTCGCTGGTGTTTTTTCTAAAATGCTGCTCTCGCTGAGGCGCTGGCCTAATTGTCGGGCTCCCGCTCCTTCCGAGTCGTGTTCCCGCTGCAGCGCTGGCCTCATTTCCGCGCTCCCGCTCGTTCCGAATCGTGCTCCCGCTGCAGCGCTGGCCCAATTTCTGCGCGTCTCGTTGTTCCACAACGTGCTCCCGCTGCAGCGCCGACGTTTTCGATCCTTTTTAAGAAGCCCCAAATCTAGAAAATGAGCCCCGGCAAAAACATTGGAGGTGATTACACATCCGGTGTCGATTCGTTGATTTTTGGGGCCGCAGAAAGCCCCCCCCCCCCTTTTGGGCGGCGTCCTTTTCCGCACAGGATTCCCGGGAGTTTGGTTTTCATCTATGTTTTTGAAAATCCGAGTCTTTCAGGTCCTTCAGAATGTTGTTCCCGCTGCCACCACCACCACCACCACCACCACAACCACCACCACCACCAGCACCAGCACCAACACCACCACCAGCACCACCACCACCACCACCACCACCACCACCACCACCACCGCCACCACCACCACCACCACCACCACCACCACCACGACAACCACGCACACACGCACGCACGCACGCACGCGCACCACCACCCACTACGCACGCGCGCGCGGCGCCACAGGTCCGCTACGACACGCGTCCGCGGATAGAGAAAATCAGCGCCATGGTAAGGGATGGGAGGGAGGGGTAGGACGTCGAGCGCACCTAGCTTGTTCCCCCCCCTTCTCCCTCCTCATCCGCCTCACTGCTAATCTCCCTTCCCACCTCCTCCTCCTCCTCATTTCCTCCTCCTCCTCATCATAATCCCCCTACTCCTCCCCCTCCTGCTCACAGTAACTCTCCTCCTCTCATCCTCATCCCGTCCTCCTCCTCCTCCCCCCTCCCTCCTCCCCCTCTCTATACTACTTCCCCCCTCCTCCTCATTTCTCCGCCTTCCTCCTCAATCATCATCCCATCCTCCTCCTCCCCCTCCCTCTCTCATCCTCCTCCCCCTCCCTCCCTCCCCTCCTCCTCCTCCTCCTCCTCCTCATCCCCGTCCTCACTCCTCCTCCTCCCCCTCCCTCCCTCCCCCTCCTCTATAAGTCCCTTCCCCCTCCTCCTCGATCATTTCCCTCCTCCTCCTCCTCCTCCTCACATCGTCATCTCCCTTCCTCCTCCCCCCCCTCCTCCTCCCCCTCCTCCTCTCCTCATCTCTCATTCCCCGTCCTCCCCTCCTCCTCCTCTCCTCCTCCCCCTCCCTCCCCTCCCCCCTGCCTCCTCCTCCTCCTCCTCCTCCTCCCCGTCCTCCCCTCCTTCTCCTACTCCTCATTCCCTGCCTCACTCCCCCCCCTTCCCCCTTCCTGCTGCTCCTCCTCCTCCTCATCCTGCTGCTCCTCATCCTTTTCCTCCTCCTCCTCCTCCTCCTCCTCCTCCTCCTTATTGTCATCATCAGCATCATCATCGTCGTCGTCCTCATCTTTAAGATCACCATCATCAGCATCACCATCATCTTCAAGATCACCATCGTCGGCATCACCATCATCAACATCATCATCATCATCAAAAACATCATCATCATCATCATCATCAGCATCAACGTCATCAACATCATCATCATCACCATCCGTTTCTGCTGTGGCGTAAGCTGCGTGGTAGCCCTAGCTGCGGCGAGAGCTGCAGACCCCGAGTCCGTTTGCGCGGCGGGAGCTGTGGTAGTTGGGCGGCGAGAGCTGACCGCGACGCTCGCGCAGTGGAGCAGCGGGAGTGGATTCATTGGTGGCTGCCTCGCGACGGCGAGGGCCTTCCCTGTCCCAGCTCCGCGCCCCCCCCCCCCGGCGAGAGGGCGGGTATTATGGGAAGCGAAATCTGGCGGGACATTTTTGGCGAGGGCCCAGACGCCGGGCGTCCTCGGGACGACGGGGGTGAGGGGCCCCTCGCCCTCCGCCTCAGCACCAGGGGCCCGAGCAGCGTAGTGCCATTTGTTGGCCCCTGGTTCCATGCAGGGCGACGGCGCGGCAGCCTCAGCTGGCGTCACCAGTCGGGCGGGGCCATGTGCACTAGTAGATTGGATCGTGTCGGACTTGACTACAACTCCTGGAACAGCATAATGGGCCAGCGTTGCGACAGCTTGGCGCCACGATATTGCCTCTCAACAGTTTCGAGTTGCACGACGTCGATGTGGTCCAAGAGAAGCCGGCTCTTCTGATCCATGGGTGCGTGTGGCCGCCGGTCGAGTGTTTCGCATACCTCGAGCAGCTGATGACTAAGTACTTGGGCAGACAACCAACTCACACGGAGAGGTGCCGCTTCTACGAAACGTTAGTCTTCGAAGCGATTGCAGGTCAAGTTCCTGGAGGTGCGGTTGTCAGCATATGTCGGCAGTCTGAGCATATCGCACCAGGAGCCACGCCGGCGGTGCTGGCGACGCTCGGCCACATTCCAGGCTATCAGCCAATGAGATCACGTTTGGGACCCAACGGGGAGCTTCAGCCGTTACAGGACGGCGACGCTCTTGTGGCACGAGTGTCGACTACGGGACCAATCGACCCGCAGGCTTACATGGGCAGGCGCGGGAACCTCGACCTAGTCGACATGTGCACCATGGCATCGACCAACAACATGCGCGTCATATTCCTTGGCGAACTCAACGGGGGGCTCAGCATGGGTTGCGCGATGGGCATGCTGTACAACCAGTTCCAGCCTACGCCGATGAAGGACTGGACTATGCCAGCTCGGGCGCTCAGAGTACTCGGGGGGGTACGTGGGCACGTATGAGGACTTCGTCGAACACGAAATCTGGCTGGGCATTTCGTCGCCCGCATGTGGTGCGAAAACCAGGGCATGGCGGCGGGCATTTGGTGTGATAGCCAGGCTGCGTGGGCCCCCCACCCCGGGTCCACGTCTCATCTCTCCGATATTCTGGGATCCGATATTCTTTGAGTTGAAGTAATTTGGCCACCATCGCCTGAGCCATCATCGCACTTGCTTCCCGCCGAAATTTGCCCCGCCAGATTTTGCCTCCCGCGCGGCTGCCGCCATCGCCATCATTATCATCAGCATGACCTTCCTCATCCTCATCCTGAGACATCCTCGCAACGCCGACCTCTGATATTCTTCCCTGCCCCAAATTGTGTCGGCCAGTTCCGCCTACGCAAAAACTCGCAGCGTTGACCT